TCCATTCAAACCATCAGTCGCGCCGGAATGGTAAACATAAAAATTTCAAATCATTTGAATAATATTATTAATAAGCCTCCAGTAATATAATTAACATATAAAAACTTTAAATTTCTAGAAACCACGAAAAGAGGACCATTATTTTCATGACAAATTAGGAATCCGCTAAATAAGGTGGAGTTCTGACGTCAATTGGGACGCGAATGTTGCTTTTTAAAAAAGTAAGCTTTAGAACAGGTTTAGATATTACGGTATATTATATTAAAGATCGTAACAGCAAATAAAATACTTTAAAGAAAAATTTCTATCTTGTTTGCCTGCCTTCTATTTTTGTACCGTATTTTTTTTAATCCAGTTCGAAGGGGTGATCTTAAATGAATTTTGCAAAATTTTATTGTACTGCGTAATTGGTAGATCGTTTGCTGTAGAAGTTTTGAAAAAAAAAACTATTAATATAAGTTGAGGAGCCAATAGAAATATATATATAATAATAATACATAATATATAATACATAATATATATCATAATAATATAATAATATAATATATATAATATGATAGTATTTAACATTGCTATTATAAGATAGAAGGGAAAGGATTCCGTCTTGTTTAAGGCAGTGAGGTGTGTCGACTAAAATAAACAATATACCAATATCATATTAGCTAAAACGAGATCTAGTTCATTTCATTTAAAAATAAAATTTCCCACTAAATCTTATATTCGGAGGATTTTTTTCTAAATTTTTGGGAGTTTGGTGAGATCAATATTTAACATCTTAGGAAAATCAAAGCAGTCTACAGTTTTTGCAGACACAGATTATCCTGGTTGTTTGGAGTGTTTTGATACCATCATAATGCCATGAATTATCTACTATCAATGTTGCATTCATTACAGGTTCTGCTTATGTGCCAGATGGTAAAAGACAGGAGGCGAGTAAATACGACAGGCACAGAGAACAAAAGATCTTACATTTTTGTAGAGTTTGGTTATATAGACATTCGAGGCTTAGGAACTTTAATTCTTATTTAAGAGTGAGGTCAAGGCTCAAACTATTTTTTTCAAAATATTAATAAGAAGAGCCTAGTTTCACGACCAAAGGGTAAAATATATATTTTTTTTAATTTTGTGGCCAAAGAACAAAGCTTTTAACAGGTTTTCCTTTGGGATATATAAAGTCCTAGGAACGGTAACTTTTTTAAATTACTTTCGTACTATACCAGTTGTCCAAAAATAATTAAGAGTAACAAAGCTGTACTTTTTTAAATGAAACTCCCTCTATATCTCCCTCTAAAATGGAGGTATGCAATAAATACTCGAAATATCGAGGGTCCATTTTCAGACGCTCACATATTTTGTCAAAACTTTTGCTAACTTTGGACAATATTTTGCGGGGTTACAGTGTTTAAAGCATCTGTAATACGCATTTTCAGATTTTCTGGTTTGGTTGAAAGTATGTTGTAAACAATTCCTTTCACGTATTCCCATAAAAAGAAGTGTAATGGTGCGCAGTAAGTTTGGGGATCTAAGGAACCAATTTTGAAACCGATGTCTTCCAATCCACCTGATTTCAAAATTGGTATTTAAAAATTGTCAAATTCATCGTTGTTATAATATTAAAAGGGAACGTTCCAATAATACAGGAAATTGATATTCAGCGAAATGAGACTGACAGCCTTAATAAATTATAAGCAACGAGATACAACTTTTATTTAGTAATCACCAAATGGCGTCAAAAACCATAATCTTGGGTATTTTGCGAAACGCGAAAAGACACTCTAACACCATTCGATAGGTAACTGAAAAGTATATTGCCTCCTCCACCGTAAATGTCGTTGATTTAATTTAAATATTTCTTATGTATGTATTTGAGAAATAAAAATTAGATTACATTTTGATAAAACCCAAATTATTTAAAAAACTTTAGATTTGTGTATCAAAAACCATATTGAAACGCACACTTATTTTGATTATCCAGTGGAGAAATGTTATAATATAAAGCGGGTTGGTTATGATTTTAATTTCCTTTGTATAAGTATCGTAGGTCGGGTCAAGTTTTAATCCATAACGGGCCTATGGATTGGGTTGGATTGGAAATAGATCTTCAGGGTGTCCAATTGAGGTGCTGTATTTCGGAAATCGTTAATTGCATACAATTCACTAATGCCTCAAGAGACGTCGCCGGACATGCAGCAGTAGCTTGGGAAAAATAAGTGAATTTTATCATATATTTCAATTATCGCTTTCAAGTCTGGCCTTTCTAATAGACAATAAATTATGCATTATGAGTGCCCTAAAGTGAAATTTAGTGGTTTCTAAATAGTAACAAAATTTTCTTAAGCCCACTTTTAAAAGAACAAACAAGTTACACAAAATTACTAAAATTATTTTTTTTACTACTTGCAGTTTCCAAGACATTTGATTAAACTCACCAAATGTTGTTGTGATTTTGTTTCATTCACACAGTAAAAAAAATATAATAACAATAAATAAAAATAAAAAAGACACTAGCACACAAATATAAATATACTAAACTTATTTTTTAACAGAAGCAAAGAAAAAATCTTGGAAGCACTTCACCAATATATGAGTTAGAGTTTTAGTCGACAAAAATGTTGTTGATATGCCGGGAACAATGTCTGGACCATTACGTAAACTGCCCAGAAAAGTGCCCTTGTTCCGTTACCAAATTGCCTACAAATTTTAATTAAAAAAAAATTTAAAAAGAACATGAGATAGGTATAGGGAAACCCACTCAACATTATTTCTTTAGTAGTATCTAAAAATGAAACGATATACAGGAGATACAATTTGAGCCAACCTTCGTTTTCATTTTTTTCGAAGTAAGAAAAAGTTTGTAGCCGATAGTACTTACATATATTATTCGTTTTTACTGACGGACTTTACTCCAGTAATATAAATAAATATAGAATATTAAAATATTTAACTTAATTTATCCTTTTAAAACAATCTTAAAATGATAACAATCGGCATTGTCATAATTCTAGTTTACAATAAACTCTATAATTTATTTGCAGAGGAAAAACTTTCCTACGGAAAAACAATTTTTCTTTAAAAAAGAAAAGGCATTCCATTTATTAAACTTATCCAAGTCGCAGACCATCACTTCATTATTGACTACGTTGGCAAAAATTTCTTTATGAGGCAGAGATCAAAGGCACAAAATGAAAGTTTTAAAAATAGACCGGAGATTTTGACTCACCTTTGTAAACTCGCAGTTTCCAAAAATATCGTGAAGCCGTTTGCGTGGGCACATCGCAGGCGATATTTTGACTACGTATTTATTAATTTAAGGGATATTCTTGTGTCCTACTTGTTGTATCTCATTGAATCATTTTTATTTACAAACACACGCATTTAATCACACTCACAGGCACGAAGTTGTTTAAATATTTAGGCACTTTCATATTTTTAAACAATTATTGGAGTCTGAAACGAAGAATAAACTGGATGATTTTAGTTATGTTAACTGTCAAAAGGTTTAGTTCAGTTTGGCAGGATTTAATAATAATGTGAGGAACAATAGTCAGCTCAAAAGTAAGATCATTTCAAAAATGTACTTTTCATTAAATACTGGTGACTCCCTAAAAGAACATGGAAACTAAATTTAGAGCAGTCGACTAGCAATCTACATAGTCTATATAACAATTGAAGAGAAACACATTTTGCGGTTTAAACAGACAACAAACATTAAACCTTAACAGTAGTATCATTCTTGATTCACCATTTTGAACACGCAGTTTTCAAAAATATCGTTGTTTTGAGTGAGCACATCCCTGCGGCGAAATTTTGATCAAGTATTTATTAATTAAAGCGAGATTCTTGTGTCATACTAATACAGAAATGAAAACTTCAAATGAGTGAATATATTTTTGAAAAGCATCTTGGTAAAATTTCCATCAAAACCGATGCGACATAGTTTTCAGCCAAATATTAAGAACGGAACAACTGCCAATAATGCATATTTGTTAATCATTTAGCTTTAAAAAGGTTTACTCGTTAAGAAACTGCATTCTTTAAATATTTTGCTGGGCAACCATGACTATAGAATTAATTAACAAGCCAAGAAGAGGAAATTCCTGCATAATATAAGTTTATACTGCCGAAAATTCAACCGAAACAAGCGTCAACTTTATTATTTATACATCTGTAGGTATACGAACAAAACGTTATTCTTTAAACCTTTTTCAGAACAAAATCGAAAATAAAATTTAGACGTTTAGATGAAAACTTTTTAACATTTTATTTTTTTACTAATTCAAACGTAATGTTTTCCTTTTTTTGTGTCTAAAATGGTTGCAGATAGTTGATAATAAGATAATAGAAAATATAAGAATTTGATTGTATATTTTTTATATTTAAAAACAGAGGAACTTCATTTCATCTTCATCTGTGCTCACTTAAACATTGAATCTAATTAGTATTTTGAATGTGTAATATTTAGAAACTTTTGATATCAAAGTAAACACTGTCATCAAAATTAATAAGAAATTTTGTTATTAACATACAGAGTACTCTAAATCTGGCACTCGGGATTTTACGTTTGAAATGGTAGAATTTTTGAGGTGAGTAAAAGAATGACTACATAATATTTTAAACTGTACTTCTTTTTTGTTGAGAACAAGTAATCTTTTCATCGAATATAAGTTGTAGTGTTTCTACGTTGCAGTCGACGCGTCACCGATATATTTCTTTGGGAGTTTTTGAAAATTTAAACCGTTTTTTGTCGTTTGATTTGGAGAAACTTAGGTACAGGACTTTATAAAAATATTTCATGTACAGTCAATAATGTACCTGTCAAGCTGAACTAATCAATTTGTGTTTAAAGACTAAGATTACTTACTGAATCGATTGCAACTTCGTTCCCGCAAACCCAGAATTCTTAAAAATATGCCAGTGCCAAACATATACTTCAATTTTATTTATACGTTTTATCATGCAGATGGTCTACTATTATTTAAAAATTTTTTCAACTTCCTTACGTTGCTTTTTGCCTGCAAATAGTTCTTGGCTTCGTCTTTTTCCACCGATATCGACTTGGACCTCTCTCGAACACCACTTAAATAGTCCCCGATTCTTCTTTCGCGATTTTTATTCACACTAATGGAGGATAACATATGCATTGGTTTAAAATTTGTCACTCCAGATTCGTCAATTAGTACAAAAGGAATTCGTCCCGCCAACACGCCCCTAGATGCGTCCTTTGGAACTACAGCTTGTAGAGAACCACGTGTTACTAGCACGGGACAATCCAGTCTCATCCTTTTCAATATAAAATCTTCAATCGCCAACAAATTTTGTTTCTTCATGAGATCGTATGGGATTTCTCTCGAATTTCTTACCGGTTTTTCATCCGATATTAGAACGGCACTTTCCCTAATTAATTGCCTTATTCTGGGATCCGATTTGGCACACTCGGGATTCTTTTTAATCCTCGAAATAGCGGTCTTTAAAGAATAATCTCTTTCCGCCAATTGGCGTATAATCGTCATCCGTTTTATCATGTCTAGGGAAATATCCTTCAAATTGTTTAAAGATGTTTTTCGCTGCGAGAGATTCTCAACAATGTCGTCCAAATCGAGTGCCTTCGCAAAACTTAGTGCTTCCTGTATAAACTCCCTCAACGTGCTTTCTTTTTTCTCCAACAATTCTTCAAGGTTGTTACTCATCATGGTTTTAACAGAATTAACGATGCAATCCTGAAGCGCTTCTACGGATTTTTCTTCGGAGTCGACCGTTTTAATTGAAGCTTTGATGAATTGCGAAAAATCTTGCAAGATTCCCGGACTAACTTTGACCAATTTTGTAAAGGAACAATTCATAATATGGCCGTCGCCGATAATGCGATCTAGATATTTGACCGCATCCATTATCGATAAATCTTCCGCAGCTAAGTTTTTCAACGCTGCCATCTTGGTGTGGGAAATGTCGTAAGTTAGCTGCCTCAATACCGCGTCGCAGACTTCTAAACGATCGGACGAAGTCTGCATTAGGGATAGCAATTCGTTAAGCACTTCGGGGTTATTTTTGAGCATGTCCGAAATAATATCGACTACCGAATGAAGTGCTAAAAGCTGGTCTTTGGGTCTATTCTTGTAAACGTCGTTAGCTACAACTAAAGCGTTCTTAAACAAAACCTTCAATTTACTGGAGCACTTGTTAAATTTGACATCGATATCTGTCTGTTTGATGTTAACGTCCATGTTAATGTTCTCGACGCGAACACTATTTTTATCCCGGAAAGCCGCTGACCTCCTAGTTATCGCGATCAGTATTTCGGAAAGTTTATTTAAGGTGTCATTTTCTTGAGTTATTCTCGACGCCGCATTTAACGCGTCGCTATCGCTTACATACGATATTAGGTTATTTTGGGACACTAAACTTATCTTGCGGAGTTCGTCGAGTTTTCTCTGCAGCTGCTTCTTTTTTTCCTCTAAGCTATTCAATAGATCGTTCATGCCGTCGTCCTGTAACATCTGTTTTAACTTTTCCAACTCTAAGCGTTGCTGTTCGTGTTTCAAACGAATCGCTTCCAGGTCGACCTCCTCCATTTCGGACGTATTCAGTTCCGCACTGTCCAAAGTAGAGTCCGTGGAGACCTCGTCAGTTTCTTCGTCGCTTGGTATGCTCGATTTTTCGGCACTTCCCACAATTATTTCGATATTGTTCATGTCCTCGACCCCTTGTTCTTTCATCACCTCTTCGATGCACTCCTTAATTGCGTCTTGATCGTTGTTTTCTTCCTCGGGTACGACACTTATAATTCTCAAGAGTTTTCTCCTTCTTTTCTGTCTTTGTTCCTCCGGTTCTGGTGGCGGTCGTTCTTCCACCTCGCTGGCAAAAGTTAATTGACCACCCGATGTAATTGTCGATTGCGTTGGCAAAAACAACGGATCTTTTTCGTTATCTCCCATGATTAGACCGTTAATCAGAGTTGGTTTATTGTCGATATTAATGGTGATTCCGGGGGCGTATTCGTCACCAAACTCATTTTCAACCGTTTGCCCCGGTACGAAAACGTCACCATCTTCGGTATGAACCATTTGTCCGCTGATAAAACATTCCTTGCCCGAAGTAAGTTTAACTTTGGCCCCCGTAACCCGTCCGTTAATCGATCGGTCGCTTTCGATTTCCGTGAGAGTCGCGTCGCCCAAGTTTTTAAGAATTTCCGGTATGTCCTTAAGGGTAGGCAGCTGTCCGAGCAAATCTTCGCTTCGCGCGATTACTTCGTTAACGTTCTTCGTACTTTGCAGATCGGCAATTTCCATGGCGATTGGATTTTCAGTGGCCGGAACCTCGATCTCGTCTATCACCTTTTTGGCATCTTCCTCGAATTTTTTCCAGTCGAATTTTTTCATTATCTGCTTCATCATTTCCTTGAACGCTTTGGTGCCTTCCCATTTGTGTCGCTTCTTCTTTTTCATGATCCTCTTCAGTTCCTCCTCCCATTTTTCTTCTTGCATTTCCTTATCTTCGAACAGTTTAGCCAAACTCATCGTGTACTTGCCGTGGTGGTGATTTTGTTCCTCCTCTTCTGTGGTTGCGGCCTCCCCGCAAAAAAGGGGCCCGCCATTTTGCTCGTAATACTGAATTTCGAGAGGAACTTTTTTGAAGTCCTTCATTTTGACTAGAATTTTGTCGTTTTTTTGCGACACCAAGATGTCGACGATATCGCCGTCCCTTAATGCCAATTCAAAGGCGGCTTCGAATACTATATTGTATTTTTTGTCTTCGACGGTATATACGAAAACGTCTGTGCCGCTTTTGCTTTGAAGGATGTTAGATAATACTTTTTGGGTTTCGTTTTCGGGATCGATGCACGGGGTCATATAAGTAAAATCTTCCATGCGCTTATGCTCCCTTTTACCATAATTTTTTGACCTTTTCGATCTCTCTTGTCTATGATTCAAAAGTACCGGAATATAATGCTGGATTTTTGCCCCCAGTAGCCATTTACCCGTTATTCTGAGCGTGCGCAGTGCGTCCCTAGGGGTCAGCGGTTTCAGCAAAGGCAGGTAAAAGTTTCTAGTAAATATCTTACTCGCTCCGGTAATTTTGCAAAACGAGAGCACGTAGTTCACCATTTTTTTTTTTACTTTTTTAAGCAGGCACGATCGATGAATGAATTCGAATAACGACGTATTTAAAAATATTTAATTTATTCAGTTTTATTATTAAACATTACTGATACACGGTTAAAATGAACATATTTCAACAGAACGAAGTGAAATACAATACAGAACCACGCTTAGTTTACAAAACAGAAGCAAAATCAATTCGTTCGCAAATTCGGCTCGAAATAGAAAGGCGCGCGTTCGTCCCGACGCGACGTCGCCGACGCTAACCGGTACACTGAAACCTCGCATCGTCTCGGCGTCGCAGCCTCTTCTAAAATCTTCTAAAATTGTTCCCGTAAGCGTCTAAAGCGGCTTGATATTTTAACATCCTCGTCGCGCTCTTCGCCTTCTCTAGGATCTGTTTCGTCTTATCGTCGTCGAAGAACGTACCCTTTTTAATGCTCAACTCCAGTTCTTCCAGTTTCTGACTTTTTTTAACCGGCTGGATAGGTTCGTATTTCGGCGGTTTTTCTATTTTAAATTCTTTACACTTCTTGCGAATATCTATTCTGAGTTTGTTTACCTTCGACTCTTCTTTTAATACTTTCTCCTCCATCCTTTCCTTCATTCTTTTCCTTTCCTGCTCGTCTCTCAGTCTGCGTTCTTCTTCCAAAAGCCGCAGAGGATCTTCCAACGGCTGCCTCTGAGGTCTGAAAGATTCCCTGGGTGGAGTTACTTCCTTGACTTTCATTATTACCGGCGCCCTCCTTTTGACCTTTTCTTTAATTAGCGGCTCCGAAGGTTCGTCAAAGTTTCGACGTTTAATGACAATCTCCTCATCTTTTATTTCTCTCGGTTTGCGCTGATATGAAGGTGGGGGACTGGGAGTGAGGGAACGGCGGGGTCTGGGCGGTGGAGGTGGAAGATCCTCTTCGGTAGCTTCAAATTTCAGCTGACCCTCTTGCGTAATAGTAGACTCACCGGGAAGGAACATGGCGGGCTGTTCCTCTTCACCCATTACTAGACCAGGAATTAGGGTAGGTTCCCCGTCCATCAACACTGTTATTCCGGGGATGTACTCCGGGGTCCCGTTTTCTGTTTCAACGGTTTGACCCGGCATGAATACCTCATTATCTTCAGATTTTACCATTTGGCCCGGAACGAAACAAGCTCTCCCTTGTGGTATCGACACCCTCGCCCCAGATACGTTTACTAAATCCTCCATTTCTCCCGACTCCAAGTTTTTGATGACGTCCGGAATTTCTATTAACGTGGGCAACTGGTTCAGCACCTCCTCGCCACCGGCAATCAACTTTTCGTTAACATGTTTGGTTTTTTCCATATCGTCCATTTCCATAGGTATGTTCTCCTCTTCCACGATTTCTTCTTTCTCTTCGACAATCTGTTTAGTTTCCTCCTCAAATTGATCCCAGTCCATGCTTTCTAGGCAGCCCGCCATCATTGTCTTCCAATCGGCCGAGTCCTCGCCTTTAATCTTCTTCTTTCTTTTATTCGCCATTCTCATCATTTCCAGTTCCCATTCTTCGACGCCCGATTCTTTGGCTTCGAAGAGTTTGGCGATGGACATGGTCTCTTTGCCATGATGGTGTTCTTGCTCTACTACTTCTTTGGTCCATCCGCTACCACGGTAGAGGGTAACTCTGTCATTCGTAAAAGGGGCTACCGGAATCGCCACTTTCATACCGTTGGAAAGTTTGACTAGAATTTTTTCGCTACGTTGCGCCATCGTTATATCCACGATGTCCTTATCTTTTAGCGCTTTTTCCATTTGGTAATTGATAACCAAGTTACAATTTTTATCCGTCACCTCGTAAACGTAATACTGACCTCTGCCTCTGGGTTTCTGGGCCAGGATTCGTTGAACCCGGTCATGATTTTCCATGTCGTCGTCAAGAAATGGTTCTACGTATTTTACATCGTCGTGCAGTTTGAGCTTTTTCTTTATTACTGGCACCCCTTTGCCTCTTCTTTTTTTCTCGGCGAGTTTTTCATCGTGTGGTTTAAGCACGGGAATATAATGTTCTATTCTAGCTCCAAGTATATTTTGACCCGTGATTACCTTTCTTCGAAGTGCGTCTTTAGGCGACAGGGGTTTTAGCAAGGGCAAGTAATAGTTTCGCTGAAACAGTTTGCTAGCCCTGGTGATCTTGCAGAGCGATATTTTTACGTTGATCGGCATTTTCGATGATGCTTCTGTTTTGTGTTCAGACTATACTTAAGTTAATATCTAATATTGAGAAAAATAAACACTATGCAGACTACTTTTGGATTGGCTTCGTTGTAAAACGCATCAGGTCGAGCAGCGAGCGTGGACTAGAAACACTAATGCGGATGTGGTCTGACAATGCGGATGAATCCGAAGAATGTGGGTTGAATCGGTGCCCGATCCGATACCTGATATTTATAGCCAATCACCTCTCCAATTCGGGCATCCATTAATAGACAGACTTCCATATACGGTGACGCAATATCCCCACCGTATCAAATGTATTTCTGTATTGGTAGTCTTCCAACCAATTGAACCGTTCATTCCGTTCTTTGGTTAAATACTTTTTGTAATCGTTATCGAAAAACTTTCCTTTTTTGATGCTTTGTTCGAATTCTCGAAGTTTTTCACTTTTCCGAACAGGCTCCAAGGGCTCGTATTTGGGAGCTTTCGGTCGGTTCTCGATCAACTGCTTCGCTCTCTGTTTGATTTCGCGACGTTTTTTCTCGACTTTCGCTTCCTCTTTTCCCGTTTTTTCCACTAAAGCCTGCACCCGTTCCTTTTCCTGTTCCAATAGGTCTTTCTCGAAGGTGGGCACTTGAAGGTCATAAATCACAGCATTTACTGTCATTATGGGCCGTTTCGCTTCAGTATCGTCCGTAACCTGTAACGAGGCACTGGTCTGAATTTTTTTGGGAGCACGTTCGCGATGTTTCGGACCCATGTTTTCGGTTGCGTACTCGCGCTTAGGCCGCTCGTAAATGAACTCCTTCTTTTCTCGTTTAGGGGGCGGTTTCATTTCAATCTCCTCATCTTCGCTATTTTGGACCTCGTCTAGCTCGACTTCTTCCACTTCCTTCTCGAAAGGTGGGGTAGGTGAACGCCTAACTACGTCATCCTCTGTCTCGGTGAACTGTAATTCGCCGGACTCTGTTATAGTCGACTCCCCTGGCAAAAACATCGCCTTATTTGGATCGTCGCCCATTACCAGTCCGGGAATGAGAGTAGGTTCGTTATCTAACAGTACGGTAAATCCTGGCGTGTATTCCTTCTCGCCCGATTCCATAACGGTCGTTTGACCGGGCACGAACAAATCTCCGTCTTCTGACGTGACCATTTGACCGGGAACAAATCTTTGTTTTTCATCACTTAATGACACGATGACGCCCGACACGTTGGCGATATCAGTTAAATCACTTTGATCTTTCAATACTTTTATAAGCTCGGGAATTTCTGGTATGATAGGTAACATAGACATAACCTCATCTCCTGCGTCTTTTAGTTTCTCGTTAACGTTAACTGTTTTGTCAATGTTTTCGAGAGCCATCGTTATAGGTTCATCATCAACTGGGTCATTAGCTTCTTCGACAATTTGCTTCGTCTCTTCTTCGAAAGCGTCCCAATCCATCGATTCGGCAGTGGCCGCCAACATTGCTTTCCAATCCTCTGTGCCTTCGCCTTTCATTTTCTTTTTCCTTTTATTCGCCATTCGCATCATTTCCAGTTCCCATTCTTCCACGCCAGATTCTTTCGCTTCGAAAAGTTGCGAAATGGGAAAAGTGGTTTCCCTGCCGTGATGATGAAACTCTTCCAGCTCTTTCCTCGTCCAGCCCTCGCCTCTGTAGAGCGGTGCCCTGCCGTCGTACGCTACCAAGGGCATGACGATTTTCGTCCCATCCTTCATTTTTACGAGAATTTTCTCGTGACGTAGGGAAATTAAAATATCAACTATAGCCTTCTCCCTGACGCAGCGTTCCATTTGATGGGTCAGCACAAGGGTGCATCGTTTCTCGGGAATAAAATATGTATAGCATTGGCCACGGCCTTTTGGTTTAGAGTTGACGGTGTGTTGAAGTTTCGTGTGATAGTCCATTTCGTCGTCAAAAAAAGGTGTTACATATTTCATGGAATCTTTTTTTCGTTGTCGCTTTTTCCCTTTCCCTTTGGGGGTATATTTTCGTCTTAGGACCCTCGCAGCATACTCCTCGAATACCGGTATCCAGTGTTCAAGTCTTTTCGACAGCACATCCTTACCTACAAGAATCTATGATTTAATATTACTCGTGTGACCGAGTGCCGAGAAAACGCTTGCCTGTGATGATGTGTCTTCTGAGGGCATCCTTAGGGGATAAAGGCTTGAGTAACGGCAAGTAAAAATTCCTTTGAAATAATTTACTCGCTCTGGTGATCTTACATAACTGTATCATAACATTCAAAACCATCTTGGTGGAATTTCAATAGTCAGTTCACTAAAACTAGGCTGAAACGACAGACTTCGCGACAATAGAAGCACAAGTTTTAAAAATATATCCCTAAGAGGTTAGATGGGTCGTTCGAATGTAACTAACCGTATAAATGCTAGGACGTTGGTGGGGTATACCGTACTTGGCACATGGTTTGTAGACGATTCATATGACTTTTTAAATGCGGATGTTGTTCAGTTTGTTGTCGATCAAATGGATTTAATGCAGGTGTTTTTTTAGTCCATTAGTACAAAAGGATAAAGTATGCCTAACGGCAATTTGATAATAAAAGTTAAAGTTCGAACCTATAACTTGCAGAAAATGTTTATATTAAATCTAATGTGAAGTTAAAAAAACAATCACTCAAAAACTTATAGAATGTTTGGCTAGTTAGAAAAGAATAATAAAATTCAAATAAATTTGAGTTCTGCATGCTTGGTTACTGAGATGCAGATTGTGTTAAATAGCATTTCTTCAAGTGATTTTTGTGCAAAAAAGGTCCATTTACGGTCAAATTTGAGTATTTTAATATTGACCAAACTAACAAATCGTTGACATAATATGGTCTATAGGTTCGCCTTTCAGATTTCAGCGAAAAAACCAGTTTTCACATTACTTTTTTTAATTGCCTTCAAACCTTTTATTTGGAAAAAAAATGCAATTAATTTTTATTTGAGGGTTTCACAGTGAAAAATAGCAAGCGTGATTAAGCCTCCCAATGTTTAGGCTTTGTGTCCAATAAAATCGATTTAAAGATCTTAGAATTTTAATCATAATTTTTTTTTCTTACAGCACTTGTACTTATAGGTTCTTTCGGTAAATCAATTGCACTGACCGGCTCTATTTCCATACCTACATGTAGTTATCCCATCTCCCATCTTTTATATTTGAAATAAAAGTCAATAATAAATATTTGACTGCGCGGAAGGTTTTGTTTTAGTCCATCCAGCACCTCATAAACATTTGCAGCCAATTTTGACAAGTTGGACATGTTTAATAAAAGGTGGAACATTATTAGTTTGTTACGTGTTAAAATGTTATTGTTATTGTTAATGTCACTTTGTAATAATTTTGTAATAATTTTAAATTCGTAGCAGCGATTCTAATGGTAGTATGTATTTTATAATATATTATTATGCGTTTGTGATATCCAATTTACATATATGTAACCCTCTTCAAGGAATACCCGAATACGATACTTGGCGATTCGGGGAATCCCAATAAAAATATCGACTCCATTTAATTCTCAGAACGACGAGATGGCGACGTAACGCACAATATAAATCGATATAAATCTCATTGTATTTTTAAAATTATTTCAGTCAATTGACTGGTCAATTGACACAAAAAAAATTGACCCGTCAATTCCACAACCTTAATGAATAGATTCGTCGAATTGCCCAGGATAAACCCACACTACAGGATATTCCTAGTAAAAGCAAAAGGTTCTTGGTTAAATTAATGAAATAATAATGCACACAGAATCGTCTACTTGAAAGGTGTGCCTTGTTTGGTAAAGTGAATTCTGTCGGTGTCTGTCCAGTGTTTGATACTACCTAACTATCGGCTAGCTATAGCAGAGCAAATACTCGGTCACATAAGCCCAGACAACCTAGTAGAAAAAATGTTAGAGTCACCGACAAATTGGGACCACGTCTGCAAAATGGCAAAGCAAATACTTTCTGCCAAGAGGATAGATCGGCCAAATCTTATACAAGCTCGCTGAACCTTAGTCAATAGGAGACCGAAAGATCATAAAAGAAATTATACCCAAATTAATTATTGTTTTTTATTCATTATTGCGAATCAGCATGTCAAATCAATAAATCGCAACGAGGGAAACCCTCCTAGCAAGCAATCCAACAGTGTCTTGAAGAAAAACCAAAAAGGCGAAACCATTTAAAAAAATAAATGACATAAATGACTATAAATGACATTACAAAAATATATAATTATAATAATAAATAATATTTTGTTTGTAAGATTTTTAGATTTTATGTTTTCCAATTTGCTGTTAGCATCAATATGTGTATATATGAATAAAAAAGTTTTATTACGAGTTTTGTTTATTTAAAAAGCTCTGTGGCATAAGTAGCCCAGAAATCGAAAAGTAAGATCGGGTAAGGATAAGATACCATTCAAAAAATGTTAAAAGTTTATAGTTGCGTTCGGATATTATATTTGATTTAGCACCATTTCTTGTCATAATAATCCAAGAATAAAATATAAAGACAGAAACGTCAAAACATCTGACTGAAACAAACAAAAAACTGGGCTAACCTCCCTGACGGTAGCATTCTAGAAAATGCCGATTGGCTTACGTTAGCTTACCTAGAAACCGAGTGTCCCATGCTGTATAGGTATAGAAAATGTGCTTTAAGTAGACGGGCGGATTGTTCGCTTTCTTCAATAACACCCACACCTAATAGAACTATATTCATATGTTGCCTCTGGACGACGAAGATCGACAATTGGAGAATGGTCCTGATAATTTTGCTCAGATTTTATAAAAAGCAATATGCATCACTGTCACTGAAGAAACGGTTTGTTCTAGGCTGTATGATCCTGGCAAATTTGGCGAATAGCAGTAACACAAAATACCTAGTTATAACAAAAGAAGAAGAAGAAATACTGTATGGTTTACATTTTTGTTTTTCCGTGTGTTTATTTTTTGTAGTTTGGGATAGTTGTCGAATTTTTCAAATTAGCAAAAAAAACAAAAAATGTCTATGGATCACCCCAGGTAATGCGGTACTTCACTTTCGATCTTGACTCTAGCAGATAATTATTATAAACATTTTAAAACTAAACTTAAATATTTTGGCCTTCAGCGAATTTTGTTTAATTTTATAACCTAAACTTTATAACAAAAAAGTGCTTTTGTTTGGTAAGAAACAAATATCATATTAAACGAGAGTATTATTATTTAAATTTAAATTTTTGGAATCAAATTGAGCATTGGTTATGGTTAGTTTTTTTCGGGCAAAAATTTTTAAATTTATTGCTAATCAATAAATGAATTTTAGTAGTTTTAGTTTAGTTATTACATTTTTCCAGGTTTTGTGCTATCATCAGAACAAATGGACCAGAATTGGAATTGGACCGTGTAAGATTCTTAGTTAATATATAATATTGTATTTAATTGTTTCCATGGAAGATTTCAAGTTGTATTTGATTCATAATTCATTATATACTATTTATTCTCTTTCTTGTTTGTCTGCTTTGACTATTGTTAAAGTTACACCTATCTGGTATATAGGGGTGGTTAAAAGTAAAAATTGTTTCATTAATCTATACCAGTGATTGAAGAGCAAAATATTTAAAAAAATTTCACATAATTTTTTTTAGAGGACCATAAATGCTGAATTCTCTAGGTTTGGAAAAGTTACAAAAATATACATTGATCCTGGGAAAACAGTTGCAAAAGTATACCTGGACAATCTTGAGTGAGTATAGTATAGCCTGTTCTGAGATTTGTATGGTATTTTGCATTTTAGGCAGCTTAGAAAAGCATGTCAGCAGCTCCATAAGAAATCTGACTGGTGCATTGAATTTAGCAAGGATCAATTTTTTGACAACCGGACTCAACAGCGACTAGACCATCATAATAATAGGTAAGTCATATTATTTTGACTGCTGCATTTGTTTAAATGATATGATAATAATTTATCTAGCAATATTTAAATATATTTTTTGTCCACTTTAAATTTAATGACATTAATTGGATATTATAACATGGTTCAACCATAATTTAGATATTCAATAACCTCTGAATGAAAATTAGGTATTAAGATCAAAATTATAATTATTTATAATTAATGCGGCTAATATAAATATAAATTAGAAATTTATATAATTAAATCATTAAATTTTGTAAGATCTGGAAAGTTTTGGAAATACAGAAATTTATCTTTATAATATATATTTGGTCTTTAGATCTGCCAAACTACAATTTTTTAAATTGTTAAATGGATTTTTTATTATTATTATTGAAATTGTTAAACAATAGAAACAAATTGTATGAATATTGATTTGTTTTGTTTTTCCCTGTTCAAGGTTTTATTGTGACAACAGAGTAACCAGCCAGGCAGTTTCAGACACCACTAGTGGACCAATTAACATGGATAGTGAAGAAGAATGTGAAATTTTGGAAAATTATGTTAATGGCCATGGTAGGCCTGTTACTGTACTGCGAGCTGATAATGGTCAACTATTTGTTGATCTAAATGACATTCGTGCATCTGGATTTGCAATATTTAGAAAAGAAGATTACAAGACAACTATATTAACAAAAATGTAAATATAATTTTTATGCTTTGTTCTTTTCTAATAAGTTTGATATTGTTTTAGGGACGACTTGAGAGAATTTGAAAGTTTTTTGTTAAATCAAGCAGTTGCATATCAGCTTAATACAAGAAGGAACTTTGCCACAGATGAAATATTTAACACAATTGAAAAGTAAGAATGACATTTCCCTTTACATTGGTGTTCATTTATACATTTTGGTTACCGATTATTGTATTATGAACTTGATACATCCATTATGTTTAGGGTAAAAGAAAGACTTTGGGGCTCTCAAAGAAATGAACAAAACATTGTCACTTCTATGAACGGGGATGCTCCGGTTGTTAACGTTACGAGGAGTTATTCAGGTCTCAGTAGTAACAATGCACAGAATAAACCTCGTCAATCTGACCAATATGCTGCTCCATCATGTAGTCATGTGAAGCAGACCAAAATAGAAAGCCAAAATATAAACCGGCAAAGTTTTATAACTAATGGTGCTAGATCAAATGAGTTCAACCAAGATGTAAGTAGTATGTAGGGTGGGACGTTTGGGTGTATAAAACTAATTTTTTTTCAACCATTCTAGAACTATGCTTGTTATAGTTTCGCAAAAATGATTCAAGGTAAAGTTAATTTAATGTTTTACTTTTAGAGTAGAAATACAAAACCAATAAATTCCATACATATTACAAATTCAAGACCAAAACCATTACGCAAACCTAATGTTGATAAAACCCTTGAAAATCTACATTTAAAACCTGTTGGTAGTAAAAAGGCACCAAGTGAAGATGAAGATTGGTTTGATGATTGTAATACTGGAACTATTCCAAAACTTGAAGAACAAGCCGTTGCTATCAATACAAGCGCCAAACCTTGTGATATTCCAATTGAATTTAAGCAAACAGATTCTGCTAATCCATGTGTGGAATCTGGAGCGGCGGTGTCGTCCATTAACAAAGTTTCTTTACCAGTTTCTTCTAATCCCTCCAAGGTTAGTTAAAAATTCTTTTTTTGTGGAGATTATTTGTAGGCTGAGGCAAATTGAAAATGTGGTTAACACAAAATGCTTATTCACTAAGTGCAGAGGTTTATGTAATATTATTTCTAGGTTCGTATTAGTTATGTTATGGAAAGAGAAAACAAAAGTCGAGTATACTTTGTTCAACGGTTCGAAAATATAGACCTAGTGGACGACCTTTTGCTGCAATTAAATACCTTAAGTGAAAATCAGAATATTGCGAATCCAATAGAAAATGGCGTTTATCTTTTTCAATTTGAAGAACTATGGTCAGTATTATTTGTTAGAATATTATCACATTGTTTGATTTAATTTAAAATTAGCCATTCAATCTAAACTCACTTTAATTAATTTTACAATTTTGGAATAATTTCATGCCTTGTTTTTTTTTGGAACAGGTAATAAAATCTATATCTGGTAATTTAAAAAGCAAAGTTTTTACAAAAAATGATTTGGACAGATAAAAAGATAAGAGCGTTTGAATCTAGTCTAGCATTTCTGTCAACCTTATTTCAGAGGCTACATTGGTTAAATATTTTTCTTTTTTTATAAAAAAAATAGGTATCGTGGCAAGCTTATAAGGATCAATAAAGATCAGTCATATTTAGTGGATCTAATTGATTATGGAAATATAGAAAATCTAAAAAACCCTGTAAAGGAATTACCTGAAAAGTTCAAATCCACACCTGCGCAAAGCATTCGAATTACTTTTACAAATGAGAGTCCCTTAGCAACATATAAAGTTGATGATGAAATAGAAATTGTTGCAAGGAAACAGGTAAAAAAAAGTCTGTCTTAAGTCCATAACATATTTCGAATAAATTTTAGTATGATGATGGCACATATCTGGTTCAAATTTTTGCTGGTTGTTCAGAGGTACCATCTTCTTCACAAAGTAAACATGAAGTTCAACCTGTAATCACCAAACCATTGACACCCAAATCCCATCCAGTTACAGATAACTCCTATTTTGTGATCCCTCCACTGCTAGGTCCTCTTAAAAACAATGAAAAGGTGATGATATTAGGCATTACAGATGGAAAATTGTTATTAAGGACAAAGGATTGTGCAGCACATTGTAAAGAATTGTATAAACTGATTAGTGACATGGAGAAACAATGTAAGTTCAATTTAACTTTCTGTTGTATATGAAACTGAATCAAAATGATTTGAGCCTATAAAGCGACGATGTATTTTTTAAAAATCTTGTTTTGCTTTAGATATTTTATTCTCACTAGGCATTGCTTGATAATCAGTCAATATCAAATATTAAATATTTTTAGCTATCACAAACGTGAAAGAAGGCCAGTTGGTATTATGTTCTCGTGATAAAACAGAAGGCTTACATAGAGGGGTCGTTAAAAAAATCGAAAACTCTGCCGCTTATATAGATTATTTGGATTATGATGGGACAGAAACCCTATCTCTGAAATCACTGAGAAATGTTAATGCTGAGTTAGCTGCAGCACCGAGGGCGCTAGTGGAATCTCCACCTTATTCAGCTTTGAAATCTACAAACATTGCTATTGAAGACTTTATCAACAAACTTATTATTACAAAGAAGAAGTTAGATGTGGTAAGCTTATACCATCCATAATGTGAGGGATATGCCGGAATTTTCTGTTGTTTGAAATATAGGCCAGTTGACAGATTTCTCGAATTGATATATTTAGTGGTTATTATTTAGTTGCTTTTTAAGTATGTGACCAAACTTCAGGAGGTAATTCTTTGAGTGAGTTTATGTTAAAAAGTGTAAGAAAATATGTGTGAAATATCGCAAATAACATTTATAATAACAAAATAATTTTATAGTCAGATTCAGAGAAATTATAAAACAGGTCACGATGGTCAGGACAAGGTCAAAAGGGGATTTTAGTATTCGGACTCTCGATTAACAATCGGTCAACAACATCTGTATATATTTGGGAGAATGTGTCTTAACAAACTTTCAAAATTAAGTGACAAATTCCAATACACGAATTTAAATAGAATTTTTAAATTACGTCTATATTTGTTTTGGGTAATTTTTGTCACGATCCCATAATTGTTATTTAGCGAAGTAAAAAACGTCATTATTAGTATTATATATAACTTTATTATCCTTAGTGTCAATAATTATTGAGTATAGTTCGCTGGCATGCTCTTCATACATAAAAAATTTTATTCTCATAATTGATAATTAATAATATTAGATAAGGATATTGATTTTGAATTTGTCTCAGATTATGGAAAATGGAGATTTTGACTTAAGAATCGACAGTAACACACTGCTATCACAAGAAATCGAAAACTTGAGGGTTAAGGATCAACCACTTTCCGATGTGGTTTCTGAAGGTGAAGGTGTGTTAAAATATATAAGTGTTTTCAGCTGTTACTCTTGCGTAAAATTGAAGCAAGTTAATTATTTTATATTTTCAAAAGGTTTAATCTGCATTGTGATTCTTCCAATTTCAGTTTATTTACCTGCAGTTTCTTTTTGTTTTTTTTTTCTACCAATGAAAACTTATTGCCTTTTTGTATTCATTTTTATTTAGAAATTTCAATAAAAATGAAAATAATAAAAAATCTAGGGTTGTTACAGTTTTCAAATATGCACATGTTTCTCATTTTTAGATGTTGTCAGATATGAAGACATGCCTTATGCAAAGTTAAAGAAAGGTACCGGCTGGTACTTTTGTTACAGTTGTAAAGATACTGAAACAATAACCCTTATATCCAGTGAACCAGAGTATGAGAAATACTTGAATGATTTGATTATTACAATATGTGACACAGCCCCATATGCACCGGAAATTTACCATATGTGTTTGGCGAAATTTCATGGTAAATAACTTAATTAATATTGTAAAACACAGTACATATAATTAATTAATTACTTTATTGCATTGTGATGTACATTTTTTTCATAGATCAGTGGTACAGGGCCACAGTGATTGATGTTGATGAAGAACATGAGACATTTCAAGTGTTATTTGTCGATTTTGGTAATGTTTGCGACCTTGAAATGAAAGATTTGAGGAGGCTTCCTAGAAAATATGCAACTATTCCAATACTAGGAGTGTCCTCATATTTTATTGGTAAGTGGATAGCAAAATTAAAAGCACATAGTGAATGGTCCTGTGTAAGCTTCAGGAATTCCATTTTCAATATTTTATGTTTTGATTGTTGGTTTTCTCTATATATCTAGTAGATAAATTGACTTCAGAGATATATGTTAATAACACAGGTAGTTTACTTTCGACTATTTCGCTATTAGATAATATATGGGGCCCTAATACTACCAAACTAAAGTAAACGCGCATGCTCATAAATTTTACACTAACCTGTTCTTTGCCCAATTTTCTTTCCAAACAATGATTTCCCTACATTTGCCATAAAAAATTAATGTGAAATATTGCCCAAATGACGGTGTTATTGTGTGAAAACCAGATTTAAAATGACCTCGCTTGCTCACCTTGAATGATCCCTCTCAACATTTGTTTTTCATGGTGACTTCAAAAGTTCCTGTATTATGAGCATAGGCATGGTTTTTATACAGGTCACGAAAAATATTATTCAGTTATAGCGTTATCGTAAATGTGACAGAGTTACTCCGAGGCTCTTGGAATGTTAGAGAGTGATAAGAAATGTACGCTGTTGCCACGAGATTAAATCAGACAGTGCAGGATATTTTAAAGAGAAATGGGTACAAGTGTTGTAAATTACAGACCACACAGGAAATTTATAATATATAATAATATTTATAATAAATAAATAATAAGTAATAATCTTGTATGTTAATGACCACCCTTGGATAATTCCATTCAAAAGCAATTGGTCACTTTCTTATATCTATGAACAGATCATACCTTTATAAAATAGTTTTTTTTTAGTTGTAGTTTAATTTTTAGAACATCTTTTATTTTTCATGTAGGGTGGATAGCTATGATTTTAATATATATATATATATATATATATATATATATATATATATATATATATATATATATATATATATATATATATATATATATATATATATATATATATATATATATATATGTATATATATATATATATATATATATATATATATATATATATATATATATATATATATATATATCTCACTTGGATGCTTTTAAAATCTCCGTTTAACTTTGTCACACTAACGATAACCCTATAACCGAATAATATTTTTCGTGACCTGTATATCTGGTAGCTATATGGTTTCAATCGATAACATTTCAACGTTCAACAGCACTGGCTGTTCTTGAATTTGATTTCACATTGGGGATAGCATTTTTTCCAGACATGCTTGTTTAAAAAAATGTTCAGAAGTAAGTTAGTGAGTGAAATTTTTGTGCATGCGCGATACATCATTCTATCCTGCACAAAAATAATATAGCTGCCTGAATTGTAACAATTTTGCCATATTTTTGCGGCTTCTATATTCAATTTACCTGGGTATGTGGTTCTCTCCAAGTTTTGACACACCTACGTAAATCTGAGGTTTAAAATTCGACGCTTACAATTTGTCATAGCGTTTCCCTACATAGGTACGTAGCTATAAAATATTTTTGTTTTTAGGTTTGCCTACAAATAATACTAAGTTGAACTCGAGACTACAGGAACTAATTCCCGATGCTACATTTTTGGATGTGAATGTTAAAACAGATTTAGATCCTGACAAGTTGCAGTATGGCATTGAAATCCCCGAGGTCTATGAAACACTCAAATCTGAGGGATTTATTTAGTTGAGCAATGTTCATAGTTTGTGTATTATAGTAATTTTTATTTTTTTTATATATACCGGGTGACACAAGAAAGTGGAAACACTCGATAACTGTTAAACGGCTTAAATTTGGAAGGGTTAATATAGGCTGAATGTCCAATGTTTTGACAATATGCAGTAGTTTCCGGTTTGAGCGGAAAGAACAGTAACTTTTGAATTTGAAATGGCACAACCGATATTTTTTTGCATTTTTGGATTCAGGAGATCATTCTACGTATAGGACAGTTTTTCTCAGTTTTTTTTTGTTTCATCATAAATACTATTTACCGGGTCAACTGATCAGCGGAAAAATTGTAAATGAAACTTTTCTTTACTTGCGTAATAGCAAATATCATTTAATGTAATCAACTATTAGTTTTTTAGGATAACATAGTTTTTTTTAAATAGCATTTTTATAAAAAAAATATTACGCAGGTGGCTTTGCTTCACTTCTAATAAAATTATCATGTCGATTATTTTGTGGATTTCTCATTTTCCATTCCAGCTTTCTTAAGAAAGAATATGGAAGAAGGCGACTTCCCGCATAGCCCCGTATATCAGAAACTTTTTCTCCATTTGTAATTGATTATTGTTTTCCTTGATAATCTAAATCGATAACGCGACAAAATCGATAATCAGATAAAAATGTGCAAACTGTCAGAAGTTTTAATCATGCCGACTTGATGATGAATAGAAGCAAAGCTACCTAAGTAATATTTTGTTTTTATAAAAAGGTATTTACTTATCTGGTTTTTTCCATCCTGTGAGCTTATTTTTTCACGAATTTTGAAAGTTTTGTCTTCAAAATGTTGAAAAAAAAGTTTTTGTTCCCACTAGGGTGCTATTTGAAAAAACTAGGTTATCCTAAAAAATTATCAGTTCATTATATTAAATACCATTTGCCATTGGACAAGTAAAGAAAAGTTTCATTTACAATTTTTCACATGATAAGGTGACCCGGTCAATAGTATTTATAATACTCGCGGCCTTCTAAACACAATTTTCGAAATTAAATAAAAATTTTAAAAGACAAAAAGAAAGTGAGAAAAACAAAAAAAATCAAAAAATATAGGTTGTGCCATTTAAAATTCGAAAATTACTGCCGTTTCCGCTCAAACCGGGAGTGCAACTATTGACTACATATTGTCAAAAAATTAGACATTCAGCCTATACTAACCCTTCCAAATTTCAAGTCGCTTTCTCAAGCCATTTAAAAGTTAGAGAGTTTTCCCACTTTCTTGTATCACCCGGTATATAAAAATTCTCATTTTCCCAATTAATTCTTAATTAATTAATTAATGCTTTATTCATTGTTTTATCAATCAAAGACTTGTTTTGTTTCTTTATGGTAAGCCTATAAAGCCTAATATAATCATATATTTTTTAATGTATATATATATATATATATATATATATATATATATATATATATATATATATATATATATATATATATATATATATATATATATATATATATATATATATATATATATATGAATATTTTATTTATTGTCCTCGTTAGCCCTGTGTGAAAAGTAATTGAGAGAAGTGAGTTGATTTCCCTGTGGATTGAAAGAATGCTTCCAAAATATTTAGAAAAGAGTGAAAAAGAAGTTAGATGCATATTTGGTTATCACTGGCGGAAGAATCCTTGATCACATTTTGTACAAATGACTTCAGCAAGTCTAGGAACAGCTTTTCATATTTCTTCAAGTGAGAAAAAAAAATGCAGAGGCTATTTGAATGTCAAATCTCAATCCCAGTTTTTTGAACTTGCGCAATTAAAAAAAAACTGATTCTCCTTTCTCCTTGGATTTAACTTGGGGTATAAATTGGTGAAGAACATTAATCCGTTAAAAAGCGAATGAAATGCTTTGTGGCTGCTCTAGCTGTGCGCATTTATAATAATTCTGTTTTCACAACAGGTTTCTCAGCAGATAATTCTATTATCGACTGAATTCGTTATAATGATGTATCTATTTGGCTTAGAATTTCAAACTGCTTTATTGAACCTTTTTATGCTGCTTATCACTTATTAATTTTATGCGTTATCAATACAATTGTTTCATACATCATTTGCAGTAGGTATAACAACATATCATTGAAATGCGCACTCAAGATAAACAAAAATTGAACTTTGTTAATGATATTTTAAAAATATCCAAGATTTTATTAAAAATATAGGAAAATATTTTCTTAATATGTCGAAAACTATAGACAGTAGAGGCTGTGGCTCTCTGTGACACACTATTGTCCGTAAGATGGCAGCAGCTATTTTGCGTTTTATCCAATCGGCTTGTGATTCTTTGAAGCTCGGTGAATACTTACGTTTTTTTGGGCAAGAAATAATTTCTAAATTGATCTAGTTTTCGACCAAGTAAATGAGATAATTCCCCCTTCAATTATAAAAAAAATGCGCTAAATAAAAAGATTTAAATAATGGAAGTTAGGCACGTTTGTTTGCATTTGTATGCACCGCATTCATTTATTTGTGTAAATAATAAAATAATGATAACAGTAAGGAAACCACACGACGTTGAAGTAAACAATCTCAAACGCTCAGATGTATTAAAAACATTGCCTGTAACATTAACATTATCGAAATAACAAAAAATTATGTTTTGTTCGAAATAGGCGGTGAGTTACCGGTAAAACAGCAGTTCTTCTTAAAAAGGTGAATAACCCGTTTAATATAGAGCGCCACAGATGTCGACACCACCGTTCCATGCAAGAAGCTGTCCAGTGACAAAATGGCAATGGAATGTATATGCAAGAGAAGGACTTTATAAAGGGTTTTCGCCATAATTCTGTATAAAATACCGGATTTTTTCAATAAAAGTGATGTGTATGTAAAATTTAACGTGAAGTGCAATATTCGTACATTTGTGTATGTGATTTTTACTCAGTTTAGGTGGTTTTCTTCAATAATTATGAACCATATATTTTTAACAATAGGTAAGTACCTAAAAGCCATTTCCTTAATAATATGTATGATTTATTTTTAGTAATTTAATCCGTATTTATCGATTACGTGCAATTCTCAAATTTAACAATTTCCTCACTCCAGGAAAATCAGAAAATTATTGTGTTATTTATTCTTTGACCTGTCTAAAAGAAAAAATTGTTTACACCCCGTTGTCCACCCCGAAGAAGTTATCGTTGATGAAGATGAAGTTAACGTTGATGAACGTCAAAATACACAATAGTAGGAGAGTTTATGTTGTCGAATCGGATTTAACCAGGATGGTGCTGTAAACTGATCTCTCATTTTATTATTTTTTAAATTTCGTTTTCGCAGGACTTCAGCTTGTTGGCTGTGCGATCTTTATAAATCGCTTTCTTGTCGGTTACGACTATAGTAAAAAGTTCGGCCAAAAGTACCATACTTTATTATAACATTGATTGTTTTATGTTGAGTCCATACTGTTTACTGTTATGTTGTTTATTGTCGCAAATTTTGATGATCAGTTATTCTTATAAAATCGATTATTGTCGTTGTTTTCAACCACTTTTAATGTGATTAGCAGAAGATTAGGAGTTGAATCAACTCAAATCCTATTAGGAAAGTTTTTGCCAAAAAATATATACTTGATTAATTAGAATTATAACGACAGGTTTTTATTAGTGCCCTATGAGCAACCCTCAAAATGTTCGCATATTCATTTTCTTTGTTCCGAAAAATATTAAAGTGCAAGTTTTCAGTCGATAAATAATTTACGAAACATAGGGGATAGGATAAGGGACCTATAATTTAAATCATTTCAAACTAGATTTTAATAATGGATATTGACAGGGCTGATGCCATCGGCTATACCTACGTAATAAACTTTAGATATTTTGAGCTGTTTAAATTTGTTTTTCTTTACTAATTTGTGGAATTGTTGCGAGATTTAGACCACACCTCACCAGACCTGAATTCAAGTTTGTTTCCAATCAGTTTCCAATGAGAATTTTCGGAACCGCTGTTTTCTGCGTCGAACGCACAGACAATTTGTCACTTTTAGCTTTTGACAGGTATATGTACGTATCTTTTTTGATTCTTTCCCAACCGTATTACATGAAAGGCGTATTCTATTTAGTTTGCGGTCTTATCGATTCGAGGGGTAAACGTTGAGATAATTATTTCGGTAATAAGTATCGGAGTAGCGATTGGGACCAAATATGAGCTACTCTTTCCCAGACCCTTCTAGAATTGACAATTTTCCAGATAATTTGATTAGAAAATAGTAGATAGGTGTTCATCAAGTTGTTGCAATTGATCAGCGGTAATTATTAGGACAGGTTATTGGCGTGGAGATGTTGTTACTTGGATAGAAATACAGGAAATGTGGGTTAACACATCGCCGAAGACGCCACGCGCAAACTTCTGCATCTATTATGCTAGGTGCTACGCCAATGCTTGTTTTTCATTCAACTAATGGTGGTTCAGCTTATAGTAGATTGACAATTATGTATTATGTCATACTATTTACAAATCTCCTGGATTCCTCCTGTGTCGGTTATTGATAAATACAAATTGCTGACGTTTCGTCATTCATCCTGTTGGCTTCTACAGAGCAAGATTTAGTATTAGTTAAGTTCAGAAGATTGTGGAACTTTCTTTGAAACATATATATTATGTCAACCACCATTAGTGTTAAATTTTATTCGTTATGGAAAATGAGTTTAAAAATATCCTAGAGATACTAGATTAAATATCATGTGTTGTTATTTTCATAGATAAAACAAATGCTAGTTATTGCAGGTCTATAGATGCGTCTTATAAATTCCATAATTCCATATTTTTTATAAAGTAATAGGGAGAAAGATGAATCGTCAAATTAGTGTAACTCTGGCCTGAGGTTTGACCAACTTCATTCCCAATTGTCAATCGCGATTTGGATCACAAGAAGAGGAATTTTTGTACCCAAAGATTCGCTGCTGTGGTTTGTATATTTTCAAAATTTTCTAACCCAAGAAAAAAAATGTATCTAGTTGATGTTAAAAGGGAAAATACTTTAATGCTGATTAAGTTATCAAAAATCAGTCGGACTTTTACCTTTAACACACAATAGAATTTTTAAATGCGGAGAAAATATGAAAATATTTTTGTGTTTAAATCAAACCTAGATAAATAGTTTTATTTTTTGGGTTTGCTTTGTTTACCAATCACTCGGTGCATGAATAATATTAAACCAGCATCATGCTTAAAACAATTTATGTTGTAGGATTTTAGCTCAAACACAATCATTAGTATATTATTTTTTGTATCGAGGTTTGTATATTTATTACTAAGTGGCCACTTTTTTCTAGCATAATTTTACAAGAAAAAAGTTATAGAAGACTAGTAGAGTTCAAATTAACTTTTACGGAATTTATTTTATTTACAGTGTGTCCCAATTAAGTAAATTCGAAGAAACTCATTTTAAACTTTGCAACTTTTGGATAACTTTTCTTTTGTAAAACTGGAAATATGCTAGGATGGAAATACTAAAAAAAAAATTGTGTGTGTATGTATACAAATTTTATTTAGTTATCTCTGAAGCTATAGCTAAATATAAAATCGAGCCTAATGTAAAGGGATGTTAATTATAGTTCACTAGTAACGTCCGTAAAAAGCAAGCGCCTGCCTCGATTTATCAAAAATATAAAAGAAGTATTTTCCGGATATCAGCAGGTATTATAAATAATAAGAAGTTTCTGAGGAAGTTGGAGAACCGCGCGGATATGCCATGGATTTATTTTCCTCCGTCTGCTTCTTTCCTTATTTTCCCCCGTCTGCTTCTTTCCGGATTTATTAAATAGAATATTTTACATATTATTTTAACCTGTTGTGCAACGAATTTGGGTGACGATAATTCTGTCGAACTATCGTATCCGTCAAATATTTGCTTATTTCCACTACAACGTGATAACTAAAACGCGAGTTAAAATCCAATAAAAATTAGCCGCAAAGCCAATACATTATAGACAATCTAATGATACATACATTTATAAGTGTACTTGTCATTTGATACGTAGCCAGGTAAAATCATTTCACGGTATGTTAGCCATTCTACGGGGAAGTCTGTTACAATGTTTTTGACCAAGGTAATGAGTCGATCAATCGAATTTAGTTAATATATATCCAGTCGAATTTCGATAAGTCGAACTTCGATAACTCGAATTTTTGATAAGTCTAACCAAATTGGTTGGCAATAGCGTCAAAAGTAGGAAACGCGTGTTACTTTGTCTTGATTACTCGAATATCTTGATAACTCGAACGAAACATTTGGTGCCAACTTTCATAAGTCGAATTTTCTCGGGGAACCCCCTAATTACGACCGATCTTAACCTGTCTTTTTAAAGTATCTATGCAAGCAGTTCAGTGTCTGTGTTTGCTAAGTTCACTTGTATGACTTACTAGTTATTACTAAGTGAAAAATACTGTTCCTATTCAATTTACACATTACATTAAAGACATTTTTGGATTTTTGCATTTGTTGAGGTGTCATCAAAACGTACTTTAAAAGCTTTGTCTGTGGCTCAAAAAATAAAGATGTAGCTGTGAAGTATGGGATTTCGGCAAGTACAGGCTCTACAATTTTGAAAAATAAACATTCAGTCATCACCGCAATGGAAGGTTTCGAAAAAAACAAAAACAATAACATTACACTAATGGTGTTGACGCTACCGCATGCAATATCGACGTTAAGCCCGAAACAATTTCTAATTGTTTTAAAAAGCCGGTTTTGGTCAGTATTCTGAATGGGAAGAAGAAGAAGATGAGATTCCCTTGATTTTCCTAAGTGAACGCCTGAAAGAACAGAGTGAAGACGAAATCCAAATAGAAATCGAGTTTAAAGCTTGGACAAACATTAGAGGTATAGCAGAAGGTAGCACCATTAACGATTTTATACATGTGGATGAGGATATTGTTACTTCAGAGTTTCCTACTGATGAAGATATTATCGAGTCCTGAAGATCCGAACCGGTACAGTTAAACATCGAAGATGACTGCGAAAGTGACACGATGGAGGAGGAATTGGAAGATGATTCTCAGCAACCACCTTCAAATGAATTGGTTGAAAATTCGTTGATTGTCTTGCGTTCCTATTTGAAAATCAGTGAATACACAACCGATTCCCTCTATCATTGTTTAAATAAAATTGAAGCTTTTGTTGAAAACCAAAATAAGAAATCCGGTCGTCAGTCACAAATAACCGACTTTTTTCCAGTGAAAGAGTAAACTTTAATATGTACATAGATATGTATGTATATGTGCACACATACTATGTTTATACATACTAGGTACATATACAATACATTTGTATGTACATATGTACTACTATTTCATAATTTTAGTTTTTTATTCAAAAATCATAGATATTAGGGCATTTATGTAACGTATAACCCATTTTCAAAAATGATTGAATAAATATTCATTCACAAAAAAGTACATGCATTTGTAGTTTTTATTGATAACTAGAAATTTTCATGTGTCAAATCGCAGTTCGACTTATCGAAGTTGACTGTATTCAGCTATAACCGGACATATAACAATGTTCAATATTTGAATTTACAGGAAAATGTTAAAAACTCTATCTGCTTTAAATTAAAATTAATGTGAAGTAAGCTTTAATTAATATGTCTTAAGTTTTCCTGTAACCCATTTTCCAGGAATAATAACCATGTTGGAGGCTTGGCGCGGAATATTTCTATCGGATATTTTATTTCGGCATTCGCTATACAACAACGCCCGTGCTCACGTAAAAAATAGTCAAAATTAAAAGCCAAATTGAAAATAACTTCAAGTTGGAATTTTTTCGTTATTTTGCGAATCATCCGATCATTCTGCTTGTTGATAAAACGTTATAAAAATGTTTAAATCGCACAACTCTTTTTTTCGATTTAATTAGTGCCCGGCGGTGGTGGAATTTGAAAATTTTTTGGATATTAATCAAAGTCTCAAACGGGTTTCAATCAACATTCTTCGG